TCTCCAGCAGCCCTATGAAGAGTTTCATATGGTGAATAACTGAGCCCTCTACCAGCTACCAGCACCAATCTGCCAGTCACACGACTGAGCCATCATGGAAGTGGATCCCTGCCCCCTGGCCCTCAGATGACTGCAATTCCTGCTACATCTTGGCTGCAACTTCATGAGAGACACAAAGTCTAAACCACGCGGCTAGGACATGCTCAGAAACTGTGAGATAATATACATTTATTTTTTTTGTTTTTAGACACTATGTCTTGAAGTAATTTTTTATGCAGCTATACATGACTAATACAAGGCCCAAGTTCTAGAAAGCTGGGATTTTGCTCTGAGCTCTAGCTTCGTCGAAGGAGGTACTGGTCAGGCTCTGGCCCTCTGAGGTCTGTGTTCCATTCCAGCAGGTTAGCTGACCAGCCCTCGAGGTGGGGACCCCACAATTCCAGAATTCTCCCCATCCCTGAACCACTTCCCACAAAACACAGAAATACTTTTCATCAATGATTCCCCCGCTCTAAAATTATCAATGGCTCCTTAATGCCCATAAATGCTTTTCTCAAACCCAGAATCCTTAGTCTGGCATCCCTCCTCCCCTTCTCCTCGTCATAGCTCTCCAGGGGCATTTCTCCTGGCTCCTCAGTGGGCCCTTCAAGCCTTGTCAGACTAAGGTGCTCACTGCTGTTATCTTGTTTGCTCGCACTGTCCTCTCCTTGTCAGCTGCAAATGATTGAACAAATATGCCCCAAGGACCTGCTAGGTATCAGGAGCTAATGATGGAGGCTTTTACTCACAGTGTCTTCATTTGCACAACAGTCATTTTTACAGAGAAGGAAACTGTGGTTCAGTGACCTGTCCAAATTCCCAGGGGAAGTGAGTGATGAAGTCAGCACTGATAGAGTCATGTCTGCCAACCCTGTGGCTGTAAGTTCAGTGATTTTCCACTATCCCATACTGCATTTGACTCACGTTTCTATGGAATTTTACAGTTTATAAAGCCCCTGCTTATTACAATTTTTATTGAGCTTCACAACAGCCCCATGTGATAGGTGGAACCAGAACTGCTCGCCCCATTTCACAGATGACAATTCCGCCATGAGGAAGAGAACTTGTCCTTATGGGGTCAAGTGTCAGAGATGTGAACCCAACTTAATATCTATCTCCAGGCCCACCACCCTTTCCTTCTCCTTCTCTTTGTACCTTCTCTAAGCCTACCATAGACTTTTGCATATAATTGATGTCCAGTGCATCAGTTTGTTGGCTGGTTGATTTTTAATGTATTCTTTAGTAAATGGTGCAAAAGGGTGTCTAGTATCTGGAGAATTATCTCTGGTGACAGTGACTAACTTTAAAAAACAACATAGAAAGGTGTAGCAGCAAATGTGAGGGCAGACTTCAGAAGGACCTTTGCGATGGAAAGGGCTGGTAGTGGTCACTGACTACTGAACAAAGGAGGCAGTGGAATTAACTGTGCTGGGGAATCTCCAAAGTCATCTACCAGTGCCTTGGTCCAAGGAAGCACTGTTTATTCTTAGGTGCAAGGGGAAGGACCAAATGAGCTCCAGAGAACCCAGGTAGCTCAACATCAGCATCCGTGACTCTGTGATATGGCTATCATTGTTATCTGAGCCACTGAAGCAGAGCCAAGGGAGAGGAAGATGGTGTCCCTCTGTTGGAAATTTCTTGTCCCCATTGCTCAGGACTTGAACTGATGAAGGAGCTGTCCTTCAAAGAGGCTCTTTAAGGATAAAGCCATACAGATTCAGGCTCCTTGGGCTTGTGAGGCCTCACAGGTCATCCTGCCTGTTCTTAGATATCCTAAAATACTCTAGTAGGCACTCATAAATATTTGCTAAATGATTGAATGAATGTTACATAAATTGATAGCTGTGGCTTTCTCCTGTTTCTGCAGGGTTCTAATAATATTTCACCCTGTCTTGGAAGCCCATTCCAATTCTGATTGTCTTCTGTTGTTAGGGATTCCTCTTGCTCTCGAACCCCACCCCAATCAAATCCAGTGGACTGTTGTCTCTCCTTCTGTGCACATAGTCCATGACTGGTCACCTCCAGACTGTGGTCATCTTGACTTGGGTTCTTAAAACAACTTTACATTGAGATTCAGAGCTTGTTTGGAATAAGAGATGCAAAGACACTCTGGTACAGCACGGGAAACAAGCTGGGTGCATGGTGCTTTCCCTGTGCCCTGGGCTCTATTTGGCTAAGCCTTCCTTCCAGAGCCCACCCTGCTGTGTATGCATGGATGAATAGTGGGGGTGAGTGAGTCATGCCCCAGATTACAGTGTGGAGTGGCACTAAAGCCTCCATCTGACAACAAGGAGAAATGGGTTGAATTCAGGATCTGATACATACTGGCCAGTGAGTATGACCTTGAACAAGTTCTTCCTCCTCTGGGTCTTCACTGTGAATGAGAGGGCTGGAATCTGTCATTTTGCCATCTACTCAACAACTGTTTCTGAGCACTTACTATGTGCCAGGCGCTTCAATGATACAGTGGTGAACAACATACAAGTTCTGCAATCACCGAGCATGTGTACTGGGGAGAGAGGCAGACCAAATAAAGCAGCAAGCAAGTGACAGTTGTCACACCAGGTGAGATGAGGGTGATGGAGGTATGTACAGCAAGGTACATGGGAGCAAATGGAAGGGGCCTACCTTTGATAAGGTGGTCATGGATGATGTCTCCGAAGTGGTGATATCTGAGCAGGGCCCTGAATAAGGGGACGGGGCAGGCCCTGCATGTATCTGGAAGAGTGGAGCAGTAAGTGCAAAGGCCTTTAGAGGGAACCGAGCAAAGAGGCCATGGGGGGAGAGAGGGCAGAGAAGTAGTCAGGGCTGAGCCATGGTAAGGACACTGGATGGTATGCTGAGTGATTAAGTAAGCCATCAGGGCACAGAAAGCAAGGGACAGGCATGGTCTGACTTGTGTGTTAAAAGGATAGGCTGATCCCAAGTTATGTGGAATTGGGCTTCTTCCAGCCTGAGGCTAAGCAGATCTGGCTTGGTTAGGTAGGGGCGGGACAGTCTCAAAGCCAGGTCCTGCCCTAGAGGCAGACTTTGTGAGCAGTGCCAGCAAAGACTGATGGAACCTGCCCGTTCACGTCTCATCCTGCCGAGGCTCTCAAGCCTCAGCTCAGCTCCAGACCTTGCTGGTGTGCGGGAGCTCAGGGCTCGCTGACAAGCTACCTCCAACCCCCAAACCAAAGGCCAGAGCGGCTGCTAGGCTGGGGTGTGGGAGACTAACTTAGGGGCCATGACATGTTCTTTTCTCATTAGAAAAATCCTTCCTTTTTTCCTGCCTCTTCCCTCTAACTCCCCCAGTTGCTGTCTTTATTTATTCTTCTGTTTAGTTCCTTTTTCTTCTTTGTCTATCCATCCTGCAAGCATTGCATAGCATGTCCTAGAAGCCAGAAGCTCACCGCTTGCTTCCTGTCCCCTGATGCCTTCCCCAATCACTCAGTTTGTGATGTGGGGTTCCTGGTCCGTAGAAAAACGAAGACACTGAACTTGTGTCTCAGAACTAGAGAGTCATAGAGTCTGTATTAGAAGTCAGGAAGCATGACTATCGTCCTGCAGGGACATCTCCATTTTATCATCTCCTGGGAGGTCCCGGAGGATCGCACGCTGTGATAAGTAAGATCAAAGATGCAGGTGTATGCAAGGCTCTCTGGGGACAGAGAAGAGAGCGCCAGCCTTGTGGCCAAGGTGGAAGGGGCTGTCAGGGGTGTTTCCTGGAAGAAGGGGTATTTGAAATAAGTCTTGAAACATGAGTGGGATTTTTTAAAAAAATTATTTTTAAATTACTGCTGACATTCAATATTAGTTTATATTAGTTTTAGGTATATATCATATAGTTTATGAAGTGACGATCCCCCTGATATTTTCAGTGCACCTGACACCATGCGTAGTTATTGCAGTGTTATTGACTCTATTCTCTATATTGTATTCTACATCCTCCCCGTGAGTGTTTAGTGACTACCAGTTTGTACTTCTCAATCCCTTCACCTTTTCATTCAGCCCCTTAACCCCTCTCCCCTCTGGCAACCATCAGTCTGTTCTCTGTATCTATGAGTCTGTTTCTATTTTTTTTTAAGAGTTTTTTTTAGCATCTTTTTTTAAAGATTTTTTATTTATTTATTTTTATAGAGAGAAGGGAGGGAGAAAGAGAGAGAGAGAGAGAGAAACATCAATGTGCGGTTGCTGGGGTTCATAGCCTGCAACCCAGGCAGGTACCCTGACTGGGAATCGAACCTGCGACACTTTGGTTCGCAGCCCGCGCTCAATCCACTGAGCTATGCCAGCCAGGGCGAGTCTGTTTCTATTTTGTTTATTCATTCATTAGCAGCTACTGTAAAAAACAGCATGGAGACTCCTCAAAAAATTGAAAACAGAACTGCCTGATGACCCAGTGATTCCATTCCTGTGTATATAGTTGAAGAAACTAATTTGAAAGGATTATATGAATGCTTATGTCCACTGCGGTGTCATTTACATTGGCCAAGCTATGGAAAGGCTCATAAATAGAGGAATGGATAAAAAAGCAGTGAGACATACAATGGAATATTACTCAGCTGTGAAAATAATACAGTTTTACCATTTGCAACGGCATGAATTGACCTAGAGGTTATCATGTTCATTAAAATACGTCAGTCAGAAAGACAAATACCATAGGATTTCACGTACACGTGGAATCTAAAGTGGAGGGGGTTTTCCCCAGCAGAGAAGGGATGTAGAAGTGGGGGCAAGGAAGGACTGAAGGCAACAGAGGAGGGAAAATCCCTGGTGTGTCTTTGGGAAGCAGTCAGCCAATTATCTATATTAAATACCCAATGGGATTGGTACCTCAGTGGAAAAATCAGACACAGTGGTTGTTTGACCCAAGCCTGGAGTTTTTGTTTTGTTTTTATGTAATCGTCACTAAGCAAACAGAATGAATACAGATAATTTCCAGGTAATAAATTAGATTAAACATTTATATTATGTTCAGGTCAAGGGGTAAAGAAGATGTGGGGGAGGACGGAAGGAGAAGGTGGAGGTCAGGGTTGGGAATTTCCTGTTTAGACAGGATGGTATCTGGTCAGTTGGTGATGTTTGATCCTGAGAAGAAAAAAATAAAAGATTGTGAAACCCTATTGAAAGGATCCAAAATACTCCACTCAGCTGGAAAACCACCTCTCAAGTCTCCAGCTCCTTTTTCCTAGAGATGGTTTTATTGCTAAGAGTGGTAAGTGGAAAAGGGATTTAAAGAAAAGAAATTCTGATTTGTAATCATAGTATCTGGTATTCACGCCACACTTTCTCCCAAGATGCCCAGATCATTGCAGGGAAGTGATGTCATTCACTTCTTACAGCCTCATCCATGCCTCCCTTACCCCCCTAAGCCTGCCCAGCCTGGACGGAGGCGGGTAGCCCCGGACACGGCTTCCCCCGTGGTCCGCATGGAGACCCAGTGGGCTCTGCCGTGACTCTGAGACCTCTGTCTCAGCTCCTGTCACTCAAGAACACTAGACATCTGCCTACTTGTTCACAGCGAGCCCCTCACATGCCAGCCACACTGGACATTAAGCGGTGTCCACCTTTTCTAAAAAGTTCCAAAAAAAGGAAACACCCCGACCTTCTTGGAAGGTGTGTCCGAGCCCCAGCAGAGCGAGGAAGCTCCTCTTGACTGTAACGCAGCTCTCGTCGGCTGCAGTGCAGCACTGGTCTTTCCAGGCCTGTTTGCCGTTGGCACCACGGACAGGTATCGTGCCCACCACCTCAAGGAGCTGCCTGTGTGCAGATGTGAGATTAGTGTTATTTCAGTGAATGAATGTGACCACCACACTACAAGACTTGTAGATAGTGTTTAAACACATAGGCATCAATAGTGTTTCTAGCAGTAAGACAAAACAAGGAGCTCGGGATTAACCTCTCTGCTTTACTCCTCACCAGCCACATCATCTTGAACATGTACCTTTATTTCCTCTATTAGTGTTTTCTTAGCTTCGAAGCGAAATAAGGCCACCTGCCTATTTCACAGGGCCAGTGTGACAACCAGATGGGATTGCATTAGGTATAACGCTTTTCAATCTGATCAGGACGATGTACCTGAAAGGAATTGCTGCTATTTCTTTTAAAAATTGGGGAGAAGTGTCTATGGGCTTTAGCATCTTCAACGCCTATTACGTGAGTTTCGTCTAGATTTTAAATAGGAAACAGAGGGATGGGAAGTGGAAGGAAAGAGAAACTGGGCAGGGTGATTTAGGAAGGTCATGAAAAGGTGCTTGAACTTTAAAAATTAGGAGGAAGGTGAGTGGTATCACAGCTGAAGAATAGAATTGCTCGTCAAAACAATAGTTGCAAAGGAAAATCATCCCAGTTTCTTACTGACCTTCAAAATCACCTTTTGGTCTTTCCCATGGGGTCTCTGCCCCATCATCTCCCTCGCCCTCTCTGTGCTCCCCTCTCTCTCTCTTCTCCGCACCCCTCCAAGAATTTTGAGCTGTTTTTACTACTTTTGCAATCACTTCTCTCGTACCTTGGAAGGCATCACCCATCACTGGTCCTTGATAAAGCTGAGGATAAAGAGAATGGAATTAAGTTCCAACAGGTTCCCAGAGCTCAGGCCTCTCATTTATGCCTTTCTTCTACCTGAGATTTCAGCATCCATCATTCCTGACAGTCTCTTGCACGGGGAGGCCCCTTCTAAATCTGTACATCGCAGGTGCTCCAACAGGGAGGGCAGCTTGCCTGCAGCATCTCAACAAGTCTAGATGTCTATCTTGACATCTAGGCCTGCAACACTGAACGCACAGCACACGTAAATTAGACATTACCCATGTAGCCTAGAGTTGGTTACTCCAGCAGCTCACCTGTCATGGCCCCTCGCCCCCAGTCCTGCCACCATGACGCCAAAAGTGAAACGCCACAATTTCATACTATCTCACAGAGAAAGGATGCACTAACAGACGACATCGAACCTTCCAGCCTCCTTCAGTTGTCCTAAAATGTTGATCCTCGTAGATCTGGAAACAACTAAAGATATGGCCTTGCTTATTCTATTTCCAGTCAATGCTCCATTCGAATCCTCTCAGGAAGGGGTTTGTACATGATTTTTCTTAGAAGTTCCACAGGCAGAAACTTTGCAGTGTCCTCGGGTCACTCGTTCAAATGCTTTGCATTCTGACATCTCGGCCAAGCGTTATAATTATTAAGACACTTGAGTACTGACTGCTAAGCATACATTTCCTTTTCTTTTCCCTGATAATGCCACTCTGTTTTCATCTAGCAGAAATACCCCTTGGTCTCAATAAAGTCCTGTTCTGGTCCAACCACGAGGCAGGTCTGTGCCCCAAAGGATCCTGGTAGCTTTCTTCTCCTGGGACTTAGGAGAATCGAATGACCCTGGAGTGAGCTTCTTTCTTGCTCCACAAATATCCTGACCTGTTCTGCAGCTGGCCTTTGTGAACCTGGCCCCCCCAGCTCTCCTCTGACTCATGGAGCCTCCTATGTCGGCCCCCCAAAATAATCCCTAGTCCCCAAGTGGGTTTTGTTTTTGTTTGTGTGGTTTGGCTTTTTCTTTTCCTTCAAGACTACCAGTGTTCATTTTGTTTGCTCCTAATGAAAGAACCTAATTTAACTTTATTATAATTATTCTTTTCCTAAACAAGAATATTCCCACCCAGGGCCCCCGACATACCATCCTTATATTAGAATTTAAAAATCTGATTTGTATCCCCCTGACCCCCTTTCCCATTTTCAGATTCATAAATCCAGTGGACTAGGCCTCCCCATCAAAATGTACACAGTCGTGCTGCGTGTACCAAACCCTCGCAGTTCTGCAACAGATCACTTTTTTAAGCATGTACGAGGCCGTGATCACTACCCTGAGTGTTGGAGACCTCATAGTGGTCCATTTCCTTCAGAGACCCACAGTCTTGTGTGACCCGTAGAGAGGTAAACACTCTATTCCACAAGGTGTGCTAAGTGCTGTGCTGGGAAAACCAAGCCCCAGCTTCAGGAAAGGCTTCCTCAAGGAGACACTATCCAGGTAGGCCTGGAGTTAGCCGGGTAAATGTGGGAGTCCGGCGAGGTCTGGCTCTTTGCGGCTCTCATCGCTTTCCTTACTTGTTTGTTGTCTGAAATGCCCTCACTTCCTGCTAGAAGTCAGTGACGGTCTGGGTGCCGCCGTGAGCTCCTCTCTGTTCACCTCAGTATCCCAGGAAGAGAGCCTGGCACATAGTAGGCGCTGAAACAGTTCTGCATAAACATGCTTGGAGCAAGGGTCACCTCCTGAGTGGGTGCCCAGGCCCTCCCCGAGAAGCCCTCCTCTCCCTGCCTCGGACCTCCCTGGAGGACACCGTGCTGTTCCCGACTGCGGCCCTTTGTGCACGAGGCCCTACGCTCCCTCTTCCTTCCCCTGCCTGACCCGCCCCTGTTATCTCTCGCCGCCTAAGCATCAGGTTCTCATCAACCCCTCCTGGACACACTCCCGACCCTGATCTTCTCCCCGCCCTCCCCACCCCCCCCAGGCTGGGTCCCCCTCCCTTCTCCCCACCCCACAGGACCCTCGCCAGCACGCTGTCATGGTGCTTCCTGCCAAGGCTGCCAGATTTAGCAAATAAAAACACAGGACATCTAGTAAAATTTGAACTTCTGATAAACAACATTTTTTTTTTAGTATAAGTATTCCCCATGCAATATTTGGACAAATTTGTACTTAAAAATTATTCCTTGTTTATCTGAAATTCAGATTTTACTGGGTGTCCTGTGTTTTATCTGACAACCCTACTCTCCGCACTGGGTTTTGGCTTCTGATTTTCCCTGTTTCTCCCCATTCACACACATCCTTGCAAAACGTTTCTTCTTTTGCCTCTCCTCCAAGGGCTGTGACTTACTCAGATCAGACCCTTAGGCCCCTGAATGCTACGCGTGAGGTTAGCCTCTCGGCCGCTCCGCAGACCCAGATGGGAGCCCACATCACCTGTGGGCATCCCTGATGCCTCCCCACGGGCCGGTAGCCAAAAGTGATGGGGACGCAGCTGGGTGTGGGGCACGCAGAGAAGAAAATAACTCTTCTAGCTTACCACTGGGATAAATTTTTTCTTCCTACTGGCCAATGCTCCCTCCCATCATCTTCTCCAAAGCCGGCAATCTCAGGAACCAACGGTAGCTCTGTTGTTGGGAGGGGCTGGTCAGGTGACAAGATGCAGTGACCGCAGAGACGACCATCATGACTGTGTGTCTCCAGTTCTGGGCATTTACTGAGTGCTCCTTAAAATCATCTCATGCAACCCTCATAAGAACTTATGAGGGAGGGAAATAGTCTCCCTATTATACAGATCATCATCACCCCCATTGTACAGAAGAGGAAGCTGAGCTGAGAAAGTTTAAACACTGGATCCAAGGAGCGTAGCGGTGAACCAGGGGTGGGGTGGGGGCCGGGCACTCTCCGCTCACACCCCCGTCTGTCCTGACGCTGTGCTGGGACAGGGCCGAGGAACGTGGTGGGTGCATCTGGGTGCCACCCCATCTTATCCATACGAAGGGTGAGCGTTTTCTGGGACGTGACTCTGGATATATACATTCTAATTCTCACCAGCCTTTCCCGTGCTGTCTCACCTCTTATACACTTCATCCCCCCTCCCCCCACTCAGTTACGACCTGCCCGGTGGTTCCCCAAGCTCTGCAAAGACGTTTTTGAAGCCTCACCTGGAATAGACCCGGCCTTCCCAGGCCCCTGAGGGGCCCAGGGCCATGCTGAGTGGATGTGTTTCCTGAAGCTGCAGCGTGAGTGGGAGCTCTGCCCACCCTCTCCCTTAGCCTGGCAGCTGCTGAGCAGGTGGGCCCCTCCCCTGGTGGCTTGGAACCTAGCCTTGTTCTGTGTACCTGGAGCCTTGGGCAGCCATCCAGGTCTTAATTGCAAATACACCCACTTTTCACGGTTTCAGCCTTTGCTAATTGCCAAGGCCGTTTGACCTGGAGCTCAGGTTTGACTCCCACGTAAATCCTGAGTACCTTCTCCCTCTCCCCCCCCGCCCCCCCCGCCCCCCCGCCCCCCGCCACCTTACCAGCAAGTGTAATCACAGGATCACAGGGAGAGCCTTGGAGCTGATGTCAGGCAGAGATTGTCTCATCTCATTTCTCATTTTCCAGATGAGGAAATAGAGGGCTAAGAAAGGTTAGAGATTTAATCAAGCTCAAGGAGTTAGCAGTGATTTGTCTTATTTGGAAATAAGGCTTGAAGACATGAATCAAGCACCGCAGAGAGCACTGGCTGGTGGGTCTGGGCTATTCTGATGACAGGCTGTAGCCCCAGTGGATACGAAAGAGGACACAGTTGGGTCTCATGAACCTTCTGGCTTGGCTATCAACCAGGCTCTACATAGTAGGATAATTCAAGGTCTCTGTCCCTCATGTGACTGAGACTTTCGGAGAGGTTTGTTTATTAACTTTCTGAGGATCGTTCCTAGAATGGGCTCTTTGGGGAACCAGGGAGATGTGGGCAGATGGAGGTTGGAGGATTGCCAGATGGCGAGACTGTACGAGGAGTTTGCATGTGGGCTGGAGACAGCAATGGGAAAACCCTCAGAATCCTACCAAGCCCCCAGAGTTTAGAAACCTCTGTAAGCCGGGACTCAAACCCAGGCCCGAAAGTGTTTTGTTATTTGCTCGTTTTCTTTCCAGTTAAGGCTCAGGCCTCTGCTCAGGCCACAAGGGCCATGAAAGGTCACTGTGGCCACCCCTACACCTCTTCACCCCTCCAATCTGACCGGAGTCCACCACGGCGGGAAACACCTCCAGGGACGCACATCCAGCCTCTCTGGGAGCCCGAGCTCTGGTTTAACGTGCTTTGGAGTTAGAAAGTTCCCCCAAACTTCCTCCTTGGGGGCAGTTCTCATTCTTTTCTTCTTTGGAAAGGAACACTATAGTAATTAACTAAGCAAACATTTCCTGAGCACTTACCAGGTGACGCTGTGCCAAATTAAGGGGGTGCTGAGGTGGACACATCACACCTTCTCTGAGCTCCGACTGTCCGCAGGCTGCCGGGCCACGACACAGGTTCCTGATTCAGCGGGCCACTTGGCCCCACCTTCCCGCTCACCCGACCCCAGGGTTCAGTTACAGTTCTGAGCCCCTGACAGGGTTTGATTCCATTTGGAGGGTACTATCCCCCAACATTGCCTTCCTTCTGGGGACTGTCCTGGGGAGCACAGGTACGCCCAGGTGGTGGTGGGCAGTGGGGTGACTCCACAGTCCGAGAGATTTCTCCCTCCCTTCTAACAGTTCCCAGCCCACTTGCTGATGCAAAATCTCCTTCCTTCTGCTCAGAGATTTGCTACTTATTTTAAATGGAAACCCTTCTAAAGAGGTCTCATTCAGGCTCTGATCAGTTGTAATGATGTTTATGTAATTGATGATGTAATAGGATCCTTTTCTTACTTTCATACAATTATGAAAGTCATACCTAATCACTGTAGAAAATTTATAATATATACATAAGGATTTTATTGTGTCCTTTTGTATGTGCTTACATAAGGAAATAGAAATCACCCATATTCTTATAACCCAGAGACAACTGTGGGTGAGGTTTTGTTCTAGTTTCTAACAGGCAGAGTGGTCAGTTTACTGAAAAGCACAGTGGTGTGTGGAGCTCAAAGCAAAATCTCTGAGCCAGGTGCTGGGCTGGTTGCTATCTCTGTGGTCTTACACAAGCGAGTGCTCTCTGCCTCACCTGCTTCATCTGTACAATGGGGATAACCATGGTGCCTGGGCTACCGGCTGTTGTGAAGATTTAGCGAGTTGACACAGGTGAAGTGCCTGGAGTGCTGCCTGGCTCACGCAATGGTAGGTGTGAGTGTTATCGCTGCTGTTGTTATTGTTTGTCGTTATTGTTATAGCGAAGTCCCCTGGGCTGACTCAGTGGCTCTTGTCCCTGCTCTCTGGAGGCCAATCACTGTGGTCCCCAGCCCTACCCATTTCCAGTTCCCAAAGCATTCATACATTTGTCTAGACTATTTTGGGAGATGGCAGAAATCTTTATATCACTGTATGCAAAAAAAAAAAAGCATCTCCCCTCATATACTTTCAAACATCTGCATGCTTTTGCCAAAGTTTTACCTCTAATGGGAATCATCTCATTCTCTCTTCTGTCTCTATCCTAAGAATCTCTTCCTTGGCCTCTCCAGCCCCCTGGCACTTAAGTCCTCCCACACTCCCCGAAGCTCTCCTCAGCTTACGACGCCGGCAGCTGCACCCAGAAGAACTGAAGGGCCAAGGCCCGACCACGCACACCCTGGGCCTCATTTTATCCAGCCGTGTATGGATCAGTTTACACGTGTGCACATACATGCTCATGGCAGTGCACCTAGATGGACACCCCCCGCCTGCCAAACTGGAACAGTACAGGAACACTTCATATGCTGTCTGGTGATTTGCTTCTTTCATTTGGCAGTATAGGTGATCACTCACCATGACACTGTGGCACAGCCATTAGAAATCTGTTAAGAGGTTCTTTGCTGAAAGTTGTTTTTTATTTTTTTTGCGTGATTGTTTTGTGTTTTAACAGAGAGGAAGCTCAAGGCTGCAGGCACTGGGGGCAAGAGGCGGACCTGAAGGCCGCCCGTAAATCAGCTTGCGTGCTCACACCCACAGCCCTCTGGAATGTGGCTGTCACCGGTCTGCTTCACTGTCATTATTCCTTTCTGACAAGACCGTGCATCGGAACATGCCTTCCCAGCTTTCTGGCAATTCTTCTTCATTGTCATCTGCCTGTCTTCTCCCACCCCCCGCCCTTTAAAAATGGGTGCCCCTCAGGGTTCTCCATAGACCCCCAGGGCTTCTCCCCAACCACAGGGCCTTCACTCATCACTCACATCCCCAAGGCTCCCCAAACTTTTCCTCTCCCGACCTCTCCGCTTGGCTGTCTCCCAAGCTTCAGTCAAGCTGAGCATGTCCAAGGGGGGATTCGCCGTTTCGGAACCCAGCCTGCTCCCCCGTCCAGGTCTCTGTTTCAGCAAATGTCATCCTCTTCCATTTACTATTCAAGCCAGAGACGATCGTATGTTTCCCTTCCCTTCTTCAGTAGCCAATCCGTATAGTAAGCTTTTCATTACATTTTATGTGTTCAATCAAAACTACTGTGCTTTATTCTGAAATTGTGTGCACCCAGTGTCTTTGATATCAAAATGCTTTTTTTCCCCCCCTAAAGAAATGTGGGATGCGGTAGATGGCAGCTGCTTTTGGCTGTGTGCATGTTGTTAGTGTCAGCGAAGGAGACTCTGTTGATTGCCACCGAAACCCAGACCCCTTTCCCTCCTCCACCAGGGTCCAGTTCTGTTCAGACCTTCTCCCCACCCCCTGCTTCCGAGGGTAATGCTGAGCAGACTAAGCCAGCGGTTTTCAACACGTGTCTGCGAGGCCCTTCCACGGCATCTGGGAGGTCAGAACTATTTTCATACTAAAGCATTATTTGCCTTTCTCACTTTCCTTCTTTTATGAGTATACACTGGGTTTTTCCAGAGGCTAACCGTCATGTGATATTGCAACAGATTGAATGCAGAGACAGATATGAGAACGCAGCTGTCTTTCATTAAGCCAGACATTAAAGAGATTTGCAAAAATATGGAACAATGCCACACTTGTCACTAAACTTTAAAAGATAGTTATTTTTCATAACAAATTGGTTACTTATGCTAACATGCAATGAGTTTATTATTGTTATTTTATAACAAGTCAATTAATAAATATTACAAAATTTCCCCATACTAGTTTATAATATAATACATATCAAGAGATATAACCCACCTGAACTAAAGCTCTCCGGGGTTTTCAATGATTTTTTAGAATTTTAAAGGGGTCCCAAGATGCAAAAGTTTGAGAACCACTGGTCTGCCCTGGTAACAGCTCTTGGTTATGTAAGTGACCCAAATTAGTCCAATCAGACTAGATCATGGAAAGATTTATATTCCACATCTGGGAAAGAGATTTCCCTGCTTTCAGTGGAAGCTTCCAGTCCCCATGGCCACTGGTAGCCTCTTGCAACCATGAGGAAAATTACGGATGCAGTGGGCAGCAGTTTGGAGGGAAGGAAAGACCTCAGGACCTCCGGGGTGTCATGAGGCTGCTCATGTGACACCCTCTGCTCCTCCAGTGACGTGAGAAGATACATCTTTTTATTGATGGATCCAGTTTGCATTGGGTTCTCCATTGCTTGCCTCTGAAAACCCCCTTAACCAACATCGCACTTGGGGAGTGAGGCATTGGCATGCGCACGTTGACCCAAACATCGGAGGGCACCTGACTCTTCTGTGTAATCTGTAAACCACCACGTTAGGTGATCCTCGGAGGTATCTCCAAGCATGAGGAACCACCAAGAAAGAAGAAAGGGGACGAGAGGAGGGAGCTGAGGTTGTGCCACGCGGAAGCATCACCGCACATAGAGTTTCCGGAGCAGAGTGAGAGACAGAGGAGGGAGAGGAATCCCATGGAACTCGTAGCACTGGTGTGCCCTTGGAAAGCCAGCTCCTCCTTGCTCCCACTCCTCCACCTCTCTAGCTCTGTCCTTCGTAAACCAAACTGTCATCATCTGTCTGGGTGAACTGACTCGTGGTGATAGCCCGGGAAGTTTGCTCCACTGCTTGACAAGTGGCGAGAAGCACCTGGGGCACTTGGATGGCCGTCACCAGTGCCTTATTCTTCCATTGGCACTTATCCTAGTCTCTATTTTGCCACTTCGTTCAGGGCTTTCAAAGGATCTTGCAGATACATTTGGGTGCAATGGATGGGATACAAACATGGTAGAGA